TATTCAAAATTAGAAAAACATACCTTAAACTTTTACGTAACTAGTTGTATTTATTCAATTAAAAGTAATGTAAAATACGTTTAATTATCTATTTACCATCTACTCAAAATGTAACAGAAAAAACTGACTAATGAAATAACGTTTGTACTAATCAATATATAAAAAAATTGCTTATATAATTTATATACCCCTGTGCTGTAATTATGGTAATTTTTTTAATACAGAAAATAAAAAAATTTAGTTTGATTTAATTTTTTGGAGAAATTCAAAATAGCCAAATTGTAGCACTTGTTTTTAGATAAATGTTGATGATAAAAATATTTATTTAAATTAACTATCAAGTGATGATATTTATCTACAATTTTTAAAATTCCAATATTTTTGTAGACTAAAATAATATTGATCAAGTTAACTTCAGAAACATTTTTTATGTAAAAAGTATAAACTTTTTTTAAAATATTTTACATGAGAATTTTTAGTTAGTTTACTAATGTTAAATGTCAAATTTAAAATATTTATTATTTTTTTTTATGTGTATTATATGGGACCCGCAACAATTGATAAAATAACTCATATTATTATAATAATGATCATACTATTACTCATAATATTTTCTAAAAATTATGTATGCTCGGTATTAAGTACTGATTTTTGAATTGGGAGGACTATATGACTATATAGCTATATAGTACCTATATGACTCCTCATATTTGTGCCAATGCATATTATGTTAAATACTATAAAGGTATAAAACTATTTTTCTAATTGATTTTAGCATTTATACTTTTCGTTTTAAATAATCTGTTAATAAAATACTTTAGTTTCAAGATTCAATCAAAAAATATGCTTTTAACTAAACACCTCCAAAAATATGTAACTTTGAGAAGCTTTATTTTGTACACTGATGAATGAATATAAAAATGTTTATGAGGACGTTACCTGTGCATTTGTTGTCTCCATCTTACACACATTCGACACGTTAGTTTTAATATTAGAGTGAATTGACATATTATCAAACTTTTAGGTAAGAACATTATACAGGGTGATTCTTTTATCAAACAACACTCATCATTTGAAAAGTATTGAAAGTGTTTAAGAGCCAGCTTTCATTCAATGTTTTAATTTTCAAGTTAGATATAAGTATTTTTCATTTATCATATTTCACATACCCATATCTTGCTTGAAAATTAAAATATCTAAAAATCGTCAATACGTAGGCACAAATAATGTTTTTACCTAAAAGTTTAATAACGGTTCAATTCACTCTAGTATCAAAACTTCAAAACTAACAGCATACCACAAACACTTGGGTCACACGCTTGTAATATAAACATGCATACAATTTAGTTTTAAAATGTTTGGAATTTAAAAAAAAAAGGTGGGTAAGTGGATGTTGCTCTGCTGTACAGTAGGTTACAAGTGGGTCACTGCATAATGGATGCTTTTAAATTTGAATTCAATGATACAATATCATTGCATAAGAAAAACGATTCTGAGCGAAGTCTCTATGTCAGTCTAGGATTAAGACAAATTATATACTTATCTATGGTATTAAAAAAAAAATTGACCTATAATAAATTCCAAATTAATCATATCACATTATCACAATATCCATTAGGTACTTATAACACGTTATACATCAACATCAATAACAAACCCTGATACTATCATAGATATATAATAGTACACTTTAGAAGTTTCAAGTAGGTACCCACGAATAATATTATATAATCACAACAAAATAACTAGGTTTTTTAATATGTAATTTCGTCCAAATTTGAACATAAAATGACTATAAAAATAAACTGTGATTGTATATTTTTTAGATTTTTCGGTAAGAGAATTAACTACTTACGTGGAATCTTGTTTTAAATATTCAATCCTTAGCTATAAAAACTGAACATTTTATAATTTATTAATTTTCGAGATTTTGAAAAATTCTGTCAAAATTCGATGTTTAAATGCTTATAAAAAAAAATCGTGCCTATGTATTTTTAATATTTTTCAACTGATATTGTAACAATATATCAGGAGCCTTGTATTCAATTTTTACACTTTTTGACCCAACAGATAAAACTTTATTGATATTCATAGAAAAAAAACTAAAAAAATTGAAAAATGAAAGTATCAGTAAACAGCTCAAAAAGAGTCAAAATATTTTCAAAATTGTTTGGTGTATAGGAAATGCTAATATAAACAATCAGTGAAATTTTCATGTATCTATAGTTATTTGTTTATGAATAACAACAAAATAAGGAAATCGCTACATGAGAAATCGAGTGAACATCCAATGTTGTAAAAATTTGAATTTCAAACGCTCTTAAAATTTAATTTGACTGTCCGGTAGAGATTTTTTGATCGATAAAAGTAGACAAACTTATGAGTAATCTTTTAATACATTTTCAAATCTTGGATTAAAAAAGAAAAATTTTTACGAATTCTTAACTCAAAATAATTTGCTAATTTTCATGATTTTTCCATATTTTGTCAATTTTTGAACTTTAAATGCTTATAAAAAAAAACTTTGACCAACGATTTTTAATATTTTTCATCTGCCTTTGAAACAATATACTAGGAGCCTTCTATTAAATTTTCAAGTTTTTTTAACCAACAAATAAAATTTTATTGATATTTCTAGAAAAAAAACTAAAAAAAAATGAAAAATGAAAATGTCCCTAAACAGTTCAAAATAAATCAAAATATTTTGAAAATGTTATCGTGTATAGAAAATGCAAATATAAACAACCAGTAAAAATTTTATGTATCTACGGTCATTTGTTTTAAAGTTACACCAAAAACAAAATTCAATTTTCTGAAAATCGATTTTGTGTAAAAATTCCCGAGTTTCCTTAATTTTTCTTTTGTTTTTCTTGGCGCTTTTGTTAAGTACTGGGAATTTTAAATTTTGACCTCCCCAATGAACCAACGATATTCACTTTCCAATCGAACAAGATACTGAAGTCGAAAATCAAAGCATTATTTCGACTACTTATCGTGTACACAGACACAAAAATAAAAAAAAAAACACACATCATTGTAAAATCAATACATTCATCGTTTCACTCAGAATCTAAAATAATGGATAGGTAGTAAATAGTTTAAGATTTAATTGCCTCTGAAAAAGATATTTTGAAAAAAGTTATTATTCTTTGAATTAATAAATGCCTTATTAAATAATTGACATTTAAAAATTATTTTTAGTTAAAACTATTTGACTTTAATAATTTCTTTTACCATAAAAATTTTTTGTTTGATTACTTTTAATTTTGCCAATGAAAATGTTATCAAATTTAAATTTATTTTTTAAGTAGGTATTAAAAATAAAAAAATTATGTACCATAAATGTAGCACAAGGGTCTAATTATAAAATAAAAATAAAATTTAATACACTGTAAATTTTTCCCTCCCCCCTTTATATATATATTTCCTGTACAGCAAACAATTTTGAAAATATTTTGACTCTTTTTGAGCTGTTCACGGACATTTTCAGTTTTCTATTTTTTTAGTTTTTTTTTCTATAAATATCGATAAAATTTGTTGGGTAAAAAAGCGTGAAAGTTTAATGCAAACCTCCTGATATATTGTTAAAATAGCAGTTGAAAAATATTAAAAATAAATAGGAACAATTTTTTTTAGAAGCATTTATAGTTCAAATTTTGACAAAATTTATCACATTTAAAATTTAATAATAATTTTGTAGTTAAAAATTTATAAAATGTTCAATTTTCATAGCTAAGGATTCAAAATTTAAAACAAGATTCCACTTAAATAGGTTATATATAAATTACTTTATTCACCCTAATATCATCAAATATACTTCGTAATATCATAGACTCACTGATCGTTTTCGCTCAGAATCGTTTTTTATTATACATTGATATTATATCATTGAATTCAAATTTAATACTATCCATTATATCAGCGGTTCCCAACCTTTTATAAGCGTGACCCCAATATTTTAAATTTAACTTTTGGCGACCCCCAAAAAAAAAAAAATTCATAATTTATTGTAAACTCAACATTATTTTATTTATTATCATCAAATTGGTAAATATGTATATTTGTTGATTTATCTATCTATATTCTATTCTGAAATACTTGTATAAAATGTATTATAAAAATGAATTTATTAATTTTTTCAAATGTAGTTAATATGGAATTAATTTATTATGAGCAAAAATTGTAAGACGTATGTAATGATTTCCATAAAAACCTCCGCGACCCTAATTTAGGTCGCGACCTGAGGTTGGGAATCGTTGCATTATATAGTGACCCACTTGTAACCTACTGTACAGCAGAGCACCTTTTTTACATTGTTATATTTGAGTATAATTATATTAGTCTGTTAAAAATGAAGGTGATGAAAAAAAAATGAATTAAAATGAAAGAGCATAAAAAATGTTCCTGCGTTTTAATTCAATTCTTTTTTCTTGTATGAGTTTTTCCATGTTTGGGGGGGTTTATTTGATTAATTGATTGATTAATAAAATCTATTTTATAAATAATTTCCTGTCATGTTGATGAAAGTTATTGATTTATTCGTTAATTGTTTTCCTGTTCGATACGACAATTTTTGTTATTTTAATTGATCATTTTGTAGAGTAATTATTATTGACCACCGTGTGTGGTGTTCTAATAACTAAAAACAAATACGTGGAGAGTAGTACAATTTTTCCCATCAAAATTATACATAAAATGTCTTGTCTCAGTTTAGGTCAAATAAAATATGTCAACCGCATTTATTTCCAACATAGGCGTGTCCAGAACTTTGACGCAGAGGGTGCAACCTGGCTAAAGCCCCTTAGCCTCCCCCTTTTTGTACAATTTTTGTTAGTTTCAAATTCGTCATTGTTATAACTAATATGAAAAAAAAATGTTGTCCCTATTTCAGATGGCATATAATAGATGTCAGTAGGTAAATAATTAAAATAAAATCATGTATAAATAATAAATATAATATTATATAATATATATGTGTCAGTCACAAAATTTTAAAATAATTAAAGTTCTAGTCGCCGTTGTGTATTGTTAAGATGTTTAAACTCTTCAATTATGTCTTCTGGATCTAATTCATATGCCAATTCCTGTTCAATAAATACTAACATCATTGACTTCAATCGATCTTGCGTCATACAACTTCTCAGCTTTGTTTTTACCAGACTTAATTTTGAAAAAGATCTCTCTCAAGAGTAACTTATGACTGGCATTGTTACAAAAAGAGTTAATACCTTGTAAATATTTTAAAAACTATTACATAAATTATTAGTGGACAGATTATTTAACCACTGATAAATAGTTTTGCTAGTTTTACCAATTTCAAATTCTGGTAACGATTTTAACAATCTGAGTTCTGCTTCAAGTTCACTGTCATTTAAGTTAAACCTATTGGATAGTAAAATTAAGCCATGTTCATGCAGGTTAAACTGTAATAAACGTCCAATTGCACTTATTAGTAAAAGTGTTTCTTGACTAAAACGTTCTTCTAATTCGTTTAAAAGGTCATCTAAAACTGTGTAGTACACAAAACATTTCATTTCTGTTTTTTTGTCAGAGGTAAAATGTTGAGTATTGTTGCTGTCAATTCGACTAGACACTTTTCTTTGTTTTACATTTGGTATCTCTATTTTTTGTGAACTACAAATGTCCAAAACTTTTTCAAATAATGTTGAATAGTTATCTTCATCAGTTCTTAAGTCAGTTTATGATTTCTTTAGTGCTTCAACAATTGATACGGCAGTTAAGAGGTCTAGGTCTGGTGATTGCAACTTTGCGCTAACTATGCGAATTTGAATCAGAATAGGTTTTAAAACAGTTAAAGCAAATATAAAATTGAAACTTTTTAGATTGTGGATAAGTCCATTTGCTTTTAATCTCACATCAGCTAATTGTGTAGTCTTATATATTTCTGAAAGACACTGTACTAAAAAATCATAATTATGATCAACTGCTTCAATAGCTTCTGACCTGCACACCCATCTGGTTGTCGATAACGATTTTAATGTTTTTAATTTATAATTTGTTTGTTGAGATATTTTTTCTAATACAGAATGTCGAATTGGACTTCCCTCAACAAAACTAAATATCATTTGAACACACCCAAAAAAATCCCAAATGTCCCAATGAGTCCACTAAAACCAGATTAAGGCAGTGACCATAACAATGTATATACTGAATTTGAGGATTTTCAATTTTAATTTTGGCTTGAACACCATTATTTTTGCCAGACAATGTAGCAGCTCCATCAAAACAAACAGCCAAAACAGAACTCCAATCTACATTAATTTCTTTAATTTTTTCAGTTAAACTGTTAAAAATTGAACTTGCATCCACTGCATGTAAACGTTGTAAGCCTATAAATATTTCAGTTGGTTTATTTTTCGAAGGATCAAAAAACCTTACTACAACAGACATTTGCTCGTTACTTATCAATACTATACAACATAAATATTCACCTCTTAGATAACGATGGCAGCCATTTTATTGGCAACAATAATAATACTGAAGCCGGCTATCTAGTATTTTTATGTATCTGTAGTCTGAATAGAGTGGTTATGTATATCTAAAATTTTAAATCCAAGGAATATCTTAGCTCCTGCCACCTGAAATCGCAGGGGGTGCAGGTGCATATCCTGCACCCCCCGTGGACACGCCTATGATTTCCAAATTTCCAGTGATTAAAATAATTATTGTTGTTTTGATAACTTTCATAATATTTTTCAAATTATAGGTTAGGTTAGGTTAGATCTTTAAGATGATACACACCCGCACATATTGTCACCATCTTACGCACATATGACATAGACAAAACGTGTTTATGCAGTCTGAGTATAATTTGGTTAATTTTAGTTCTAGACTAAAAATACTATTTTTAGACGGTGTTTTTTTTTGATTATTTAAATAATATAACACTCATTATATCGTTTAGAAATAAAACGACTATTTCAACATTTTTAAACAACCTGTACATTTTTAAAAAACGCATTATCTGGCACACTGAAATATTCTCATATTTAAATTTTATAATATGTGTAAGATAGACACAACACATGCTGGGGCGACGTCCTCTTAAATTCTTTATATTTATGTTTAAAAAATATCATTTAGAATCATCAATGTCAATAAATCAATTCGCATTAAATTTAAAATAAACAAACTGAGTTATCTATTTACTATTTTATATTGTATTGAATTGAATTTTATCAATTAAACATAAGTGCATTAGAGTAGTCAAATTAAAATTAAGAACATATTGTGAATAGAATTAGGTATTATTGTAACTAAATGTTAAAACATTTAACTTGTCACTGTTTTAATGTCTAAAGCTACAACAATTATTTATAAACAATTAAATTTTATGTTTGGTAATATTAATTAATTTTATGTTTTCAGATTAGAATATAAATATTGAAAATATTATTACATAAAGAGTTACGCTGTTGATTATGAAGAAACTGCTCTGCAAGACTGATCAAAATCTTAACTAAAATTAGTTATTGACTCTATCAAACAATCCGAAGAAAAGGTGTTTGGGTTATCATTTCCTAACCTAACCAGGACACATAGTACATATAACAATCAGTCGGCAAAAAATTTAATTTGACCATAATTGGGTCACAAAAATCATATTTAATGATGCAATCATGTCAAACTAATTATTTGGTCAAATAATCAATTACTTGAATAATGTTTTCGAGTTATAGATTTAATAAATAATAATAAAAAAAAAAAAATGTACTCAATGGTCCTTCATACAACTTTTTTTAATGTTTTCTTTCCGTTTTAAAAAACTGATTTGTACAATGTTTTTTTTTAAATTTATGTTTTAGTGGTAATGTTTCCTAATTTATTATGGTCGTTATTGATCTCAATATTATAATAATTTATAATTTTTGCGCTGCCCCTTTGAGGATTAATGTAAATAATAACAGTAATAATTTTAAGATTTTATTTATACTACTATTATTTTCATTATTATTATTATTATTATTATTTTTTGTTATAGCTTTCATTTGTTATTAATAGTATTGATAATCCAAATGTTACATTATCTTTTGTACAGGGGAACTATAATATAACATAGGCTATTAGAATAAAAATACATTCAATTATTTAATATTTTAAAAAGCAAAAAAAAAAGTATGAGCTCATTTATTGTAATTATAAATAATAAAGTTTGTGTGTTTTAGTGTGTATTGTACATATTGGTCTTGCTGAGACTTCATTATTATTAGAATATATTATAAAGTCATAAATAGCTGTCGTGTAACAGATTTCACTTTTTATTATTATGTCTAAATTTAAGTATGTATTTAATTATTGCAAATAAAAATTTAAGTATTGTGGTTTTAAAAAAAGGTGACAAGTATATGAACTAATGTCACCACCATATTTGTTTGTGCCGAAACAACAGGTGGTTGTAAATGAGCCGTGACTTAAGATCGTTCTCTGATCAAAACTTTGTTTTCATAATCATTCAATCGACTATTGTTTTGGCACCGACAATGTAATATAAACTAATTTTAATTTATATTATTTTCATCATCGTCATTATTCTTAATTTTAATATTATTATTATTTTTATAACATTGTACAAAATCACTATACATTATAATATTATATTGATTGTAATTATTATTTCTTTTTTTTTTTCTACAATTATTATACATTAATAACTATGTAGTAGGGTTTTGTTCGCGACCTCTGCTTCTAACATATTATTAAATATTATTCCTTAACATCGTAGCATGTTAATTGTATGTTTTCTCACCTAAACCATAATATAATATTATAATATATTACAAACATTATATCTTTGATATTATATGTAATATTAAGAATGTTATTTACTCGACGTTAATATTGCTTGTTTATGGTTTTATATTATATATTATTATTATTATTATTATAATTATTATTAAAATATAATACAATTAAAATATGAATGTTTAAATAAATATACGATACTATGTGTATATAATTACTAGATTGATGTTATTGTTTGAATATTTTTTTTCAATTTATATGCTTATGCTCTATATCAATATCATTTTTTTTAATTTGAAATGTGATTAAAAGAAAATCCCACAGTAAAGTTTAAGACTCATCACCGACTTCACTATGGCAGACACTAATTATTCGATTGAAAGTAAATCTGTATTTTCATATTTAATATTGTGGTGTATCAACTATATACTTCGGTTGATTCTTCTTAATTTTTTTTCAACGTACATAATACATATTACATATAATGTATATGCTATTACACCATAACAATACTAATTGCATTGTATTGTGTAAACTTAGAAGTAATTTTGTATCCTTATAAGTAATTTATGAAACATAAAAAAAAAAAAAAAAACAAAAAAATTATTATATCAATATTTGTGTATAATAATTAGATTATATTTTACAATCAGTTGTAAATAATCGTTCTAAATGTTAATTATTGTTGTATAATTATAATTGTAATTGATGTTGTAATCTTCTCATGAATTAAACCAAAGGTTTTGTTTCAATAGTATGTTAGTTTTTCATTTCAGTGTCTACATGCAGGGTAGGCATACAACAGTGTGTCTGTAGTGTGTGACAAATTGGATTGTACTGCTCAAATGCTTACTGATAGTCTAGATCATTATTTTTGGAGTTAGGTAGGTACATACTATACCAAACAATAAAATTAATTTAATTATTCAGAAAATGCACTGTTTTTAGTCCAATTTGAATAGTCAAGGTAACAATTATTGTTTAGTAAAAATATAGCTGAGGTGATTTTTGATCCAAAGAGTTAGGTATACAAAGTGTATCTTATGTCACTGTACGGCGTACGCGGGTTTTTTTTTAACGATTATGGATTGATGACATAGAATTTCGTTAAAACGAAAAAAGATATGTTTCTTTATTTTTAACAGGCAATTTTTTTATAACAATTTCAAAATTTTTAAACACGCAGGTGGACCAATAGCAAAATAAACTTTATTTTTTAGTAACTACTATATTTCCTAATGGATTCTGGTAAAGCTTTCTTTTCTGAAAATTCTGATAATCAAATCATCAATTTTGGTTAGCTAGTTTATTAACTATTGTCCTCTAAAGTTTAGTAACTTAATTGAAATAATTGGTATAGGCTTAATTTACAGGAGCTAAATTATATTTTCTTATAACTAAAAGAATACTTAATTACCCTGGAAATGATTTTGTGTTTTTTGTATTTTTGCCCAGACATAAAGATTTAATCTATATTTCTATTGAAACAAATATTTTTAAATCAATGCATACAATCTATTAAAACTATAAGTACTTACGACTACTGTAAAATAATGAAGTGACCTTCAACATGAGCTACAATGTTTTGAGCTTTTTTTTTGTTCAATGAATAATAATATGATTATTTGAATAGGTTAGGTGTGCATTGTAATATATCGAGTAAGACAATTAAATTGTTAACAAAATGTATGATGTTGCATGGCAATTATTAAAAATGCATGTATAAGTAGTGGGTAGGAATAATGTAACCTATTACATAATATTGGTAGGGTAGGTACTTACGACTATTTAGATAGGTAGGTACACCGTACACTTTATATAAAAGACCATTTAACAAATAACCGTCATAGTTATCTAATGTTTTGTGTTGCTTCCTAAAAGTACCTAACCTATTAGATTTAGGTGGTCCTTTTCTGAAAAAAAAAGAGATTAATATTTTTGATTTCTTACCCTCCAATTTTGTTTATTACGTTACTTAAATTATTTACATACCATAAGAAAGTAATTTTGGTAATTTTTTTTTAAAGTATCTCATTAATCATTAGTGTCCATAAGTTACCTAATTTTTAATTAATCTTGATAATCAAATAATATTATATAATAACAATTGAAATATACAAATTATACCTAGTTAATGTTTCAATGTAATAATTTGTTTTATAAAATATAATATGTGTATATACTTACTACTTTTCTTTATACTTAGCATTATACTTTATACTTGTTGATTCTGAGCGAAACGACGCTGCGTATTCGTCACATTTCTAATGGTACCTACCTAATGTAGGTACCTACTTTAACTTTTATGAGCGTAAATAATAAATATTATTATTAAATATACAGGATGATTTTTTTAAGCATGCTATAGCCCTATTGTTAGGCCTTATGCATATATTCAAATTCAGATTTTTAGGTTTTAATTACACTTGAAGAACATATTTTTGAATTGGTAGGTAAAAAGTGCTCAAGTATACAAGCGCGCCCGTATAGGATAAAATCCCACCCGGGGCAAGATATCAGAGTTACTTATAATTTAAAAATAGCAGTTATGATATTGATAATAAAGTACATCAGTTAAAATTCCCAGGTGGAGTAATGGCCCTTCCCCCTGTGCATTGGCCCAAATTGGGGAGGGGGGCTAAGCGTTGCCATTAATATATTCAGCCCCTCTCCAAGTGAAAAGTTGAAATTGTGCCTATGCCCCTGTGGGCGCCCTTGGTTCAGTCCTGGCTCTTTGAGGAAGGATATGTTTGGTCCGGTGGATTTGTTTAAGCTTACGTTATTTTGTGGTTGAGTGTTGAGTCTGTTTGATTCTTCATAATTGTTGCTTTGTCTATTGACTATTACTCATCTGAGAAATAATTTTAATATTAATTTCTTATTTTTCTATATAATATTCATATCATTAATATATTATTTGATTAGATTTAATTTATTCATAATGAATAATATCTTGAACTGTTTTACTATTATAAATAGTAAATGTGCCTATGTATAACTTACTGACAATATGAAAAATAAAAATATAGTATAGAATATGAGAGAACTCAAAGAGTTAAGAGCGTTTAGATATTTCTCTTATTTATTTAATATGTTTGAATCACAGGCGTATTATACGTCAGCGGTTTGAATGTTTCTATTGAAGCGGATAAAAACAACATTAAAATAAACGTCTTGTAGTAGATACAATAGTCAACTTTACATCCGGTAGATGGCGTGGAATCACATCGTCTTTAGAATGATGAACATTTTCCATTAAGAATCCAATGAGTTTCCCATCAAAAGTAATAGACAACTTATATTCGAATATATTGTAATATTTGTTCATAATGCAAGCAAGTATTCTATGCTTAAATCACAGTTTTACTTTACGCAAATATACAGTATACTGTGTTTTGGTAACGCTTGTTTGGAGGACTCTCATAATGTTGTGCAGTACGTAAAGTGTACTTAAGCCTCTCAGAACCTTCCCCAAATCAACTCCGGTTCCCTTTCAATACGAAAAAATCTTTCGCCTTTTACTAAAGATTTCCGTGGAAGGGAGCACTCAAAGGAGTCTAGAAATTTAATTTTTGTAATTGCCTGATTTCGGTCGGGCTCAAATTGAACCATTGATACATTTAACGTGAAAACTATGATCATTTATTCGTTTGGCTATTGTAAAATTATATCCAAATTTTGTCCGATTTGGTTTGGCCATTACCAGACCCAGTCGGTACCCTATGCCCGACTATAAACGGTTATTGGCTAAGTACTTGAATAATTCATATTTCATACGCATGTACGAAATACGTATTTATAATTTATTCACCCCTTATTATCGGACGCTGTCACGCGCCATCACGTGATTTGCCGGTTATTACTCTTTCAAAGATTTGTTTATTCATATTCTTTCAATACGTGTGCTGTGTGCAAGGCTGCGTCGTTTACTCGTTTCACGGTGTGAACTTCCAATGTTCAAGCCAGCTTCACACTTTCACAGCAGCTGCTTCTACATCGTATGTCGATTATATAAAAATTATATAATCTGTGTCGTATGTCGTGTCGTGGCTCTTATTGTATTCTGATTGGCCGTTGTAACCATGTTATCATTTACTAACCAAGGATCATAATCTACCGGGAAATTTTCAAAGATGGAATGATCTCAATTTTTGGACAAATAACTGCTTTTTTTTGCGCAAATATACTGTGTTTTGGAAACGCTTGTTTGGAGGATACTCATAATGTTGTGCAGCGCGTAAAGTATACTTAAGCCTCTCAGAAACACCCCTTAACCAATCAACATGAAAAAATCTTTCGCCTTTTACTAAAGATTTCCGTGGAAGGAGCACTCAAAGGGGTCTAGAAATTTAATTTTTTTCATAGCCCCACTCTGTCGGGCCCATTTCGAACCATTATTACTTTATATGTATGAAACCTATAAATTGTTATCAATTGCATCCAGTTATGGTCCCATTTGGTTTGGCCATAACCAGTGTACATGCCCTGCTATAGGTAATTGGTTAAATACTTAAATAATACACATAGCATACTTATATATTACTAGCTGACCCGGCAAACGTTGTTTTGCCATATAAATAATTTCCTAGTAATTTCTAGTGTAGACAAAAAATAGCTTACTTATTGGAAGTATGTAGGTATGTATGTTAGAATGTGTATATTGTATGTATGTAAGAATGTGGTATGAATGAATATGTATATATATATATATATATATGTATGTATGAATGAGCGCTGTGAACGATGAGGGAATATAAAAATAACAAAAGGCAATCATTATTAAGGTAAAGTGCATCATTATTTTGTTGCTGGATTTGTTCTTCTGTTCTTTCGGATCTGTTATTTCGCAAGTTTCGAGCTTTACTTGTACTGCGGCTCAAATCAGCCCCTTTGCGTTTTCTTGGCATTGCTCACTGTACAAAACATCTAATATATAAAATTCTCGTGTCACAGTTTTCGTTGCCATACATATTGTTTATGCATCAAGTGTAGTAACGTTGACAATTGCACATAATGTATGTTTTGTACGGTGAGCAATGCCAATAAAACGCAAAGGGGCTGATTAAAAGGAAAAATGATTAAATTACTAAAATGGCTATTAAAAAATAAGGGTTGATCGTAGAAGGGTGTATGTATTTTTGTATGTTGTATCTATTATTTTTTATATATATATATATATATATATAACCAATACCTTAGCAACCATTTATAAACAATTATTTCTTCCGTAAATTATCAAAATCCCTGTTTGAGCACTTCTTTTATTTTTTTCTGGACAACCCTTATCACTTAGGGGTATTAAAAATAGATGTTAGCCGATTCTCATACCTACTGAATATGCACAAAAAATTTCATCAAAATCTGTCAAGCCATTTCGGAGGACTGAGGAGTATGGCAACGAAAACTGTGACACGAGAATTTTATATATTAGATTATTGTTCTGTTTTATTATCTAAGGTTAAATATTTAATATATATTACTTATTAATCAAATCAAATAGGTTCCCTGAAAAGTGCAGACTATAGTCAGATATTGACTGATGATAGCGTTGATCAGATTACTGATACCTACTCGAACATGGCTTTCCACTCATTTTTACATTAGGGTGTTACCACTGGGTACCTTCCCTTATCTAACTAATCATATCATATTTTTACCTTTCTTATATCAAACCTACTTATTGTACAAAAAGCATGTATAGATTGTAGATTTCTTCAAATAAATAAAAAAAAAAAAAAAAAATTTTTACTTCAGAAGAGCACCAGACCGGTGCTAACTTTTCAACAACTCGAACGCATTTTTTGTAGCTTGACCAATGAAATTATTAATATTATAATCCTATATAATAATATTATAAGTGATAATTCTATTAACCGTTAAAACAGAAACAAATTTATCTTCACCATATTTATTGTTTTTTGATTATAATTGCCTTACCTATACACGTTTAGGTACTTATATTATAAAACAATTATAAATTAACATGCATAATATTATTCAATTATTTTAATTTGATGTTATCATATAAGTGAAACGTAAAAGAGAATTACCTAATGATTTCTGAAAACGTACCTATCTCTAATCAAAAACCATAATCATAAATATAAAACATGATGAATATAAATTTCCCTTTTATATGCCGTTTTTTAGGTATACGAACCGCTATACGTAAGCTATACTGAAAATTAATTTTACAAACGTAGAACTTCAAACTTGGCCCCAAAAAAAAGCTTAAGATTAGCAAGTATTTTCAAGTCCATTTTTAGAATTTTCATGTAACTTTTGCGGCCAGTAAGAGCTTTAAAAGTCAGGAAGTTAGCCCATCCAAGTCCAAGACTTTGAAAAATGATACCAATCGATAGCTTTTCATTTGTAAGTATTTATAAGTACCTACTTAAATTCAAGTTCAAACTAAGATAGGTAGATATCCTGCTATAAAAATTTTTTTTAATTTACTAAAACCATTAATAGGTAGTTGTTCTTTAAATTAAAAAAAATTGATGGTATTTCAGTTTTATTAGAGGAATAAGCTGTTATTTAATTGATGATCCGAACGATTTTACGTATTTTAAATATTTCACAGCCAAAGTTCTTCTTTATATGTGGTGAAAAATTCGTTTCTAAGATACGTGCGTGTAGCCTTCACGGTTCTTTCCTGCTCAAAACAGTGTTTGCTATATTTTAGGCATTGGTAACCTAAGCTACATTTTGAGTAAAAATGAATTTAAAAAAGGTGGGCAAGTTTGTGTCGCTCTGCTGTACAGTAGGTTACAAGTGGGTCACTGTAATGGATGGTTTTAAATTTGAATTCAATAATATAATATCATTCTATAAAAAAAACGATTCTGAGCGAAGACCAATCAGCCTATGATATTACTAAGTATAGGCATTTGATGATATTAATGTGAATAAAGTAATATTATATTTACTTAAAACATTGTGTTAAATTTTTTCAAAATTCGAACTTCAAATACTTATAAAAAAAAATCGTGCCTATTTATTTTTTAATATTTTTTAACTGCTATTGTAAAAATATATCAGGAAATTTATTCGGATAGTCCTTAATAATATTATTAAAATAATTGTGACAAATTATGCAAAAACCAGATTATTATTATTTAGGTAATTAGGTATTGTAATTTTTTATACGTATATGTCATGTGTATTGTGTTTAGGTTATATTTCAGTTTTCACTTCCTGATAATTTTTATAAAACATATAAAAATAGTATATATTCTCATTTTACAGTATGTTTGATAATTTTATACAACAGTTAAAAAACTGAACTCACTTTTGAATAAGCATTATATCTGATATCTGGTATTATCCGCACAAACCTCCTCAAATATGTCATTTGTTTTCGGAATTTGTTTAGTCTTAACCGTAAGTATATATACTTCTTCGTAAATAATACGTCCCTGTGAGTGTAGCATTAACGTAATTTAAAATTAATAATTATAATAATCCTGCACCTTATAGGTACTAGCTATAACTATAGCCATTATTATTTATTGATGCCTATCTGAAGTGGAGTAGCAATCGTAGGGCAAAATGGGACAAATTCTCGAGGCCCCAGAGCTCAGGTGGCCACACAATATTGAGTTTATATTTTGAATTTCCTTGAAGATAATATTAGTTATAGGGGCATTAGCTTATATATTTTATATCCCCGGGGCTATATCTCCTGGTAGGTACTTGTTATACATTTAGGCAAGGCTCGCATTGATCGCTTATAAAGTTTAAGTTAAGTTACAATACTAGTTAGGTATTTTTATTTTTAAATTTTTTTTTAAAAAAAAAAAAAAATGAAAATATTATTTATCATGTCTTATAGGTAATAAATAATGATATAATATATAGGTATTGTGAATAATAAATGCATAATAGTAATGCATTCTTTCTGGATTTCTATAAGGATCAAAAATAAAGTAAATTATAAAATACAAATACAAGTCTATAAATAGATAATAAATCCATAAATATTTTATGTTTATAGAAAATTGCAATCTCTTCCAAAAACTATAAATTCCAAATATCTGAACAATAACAATACCAGATAAACCAATTTAACAATTAAAGAAACATTGGTGCTGTGAACTCTTAAAAAATTAACCTAAAATAGTAAAATCTAAATTACTTAATTATTAAATTAATTTAATATTACCCTAATATTTAATATATTATGTATTATTTTTACTATATATTTTTGTTTTTGTGTATTTACTTTTATACTATTTTCTGATTTAGCTTTGGCATAAACTGTGAATATTTCCATAAAATCGATTTTGGTTTTTGGTCTAACTCTAAAACAAATGAACGTATATACATCAAATTTTCACTGGTTGTTTATATTTCCTTTTTCTTTAAACGATAAAATTTAAAAAATATTTTGATTTGTTTTGAACTGTTTAGGAACATTTTCAGTTTCTAATTTTTTCTATGAATGCCAATAAAACTTTATTTGTTTGTTAAAAAGACTTGACAATTTTATATAATGCTCCTACTATATTGTTTCAATAACATTTGAAAAATATTAAAAATCCTTAATCACAGTTTTTTTTTATAAGTATTTAAAGTTCAAATCTTGACAAAATACTAAAAAATCACGAAAATCACCAAATTATTTTAAGTTGAGAATTCATAAAAAATTTTCTTTTTAAATCTAAGATTTGAAATGAAAAAAAAGATTATTCATAAGTTTGTCTACCTTTATCTGCAAAAAAAAAATGTCTACAACAAATCAAATTAAATTTTTATGAGCATTTGAAGTTCATATTTTTACAAGATTGAATATTCACTCGATTTCTCATGTGGTGGTTTTGTTATTTTATTGTTATTCAAAAACAAATAACTGTAGATACATGAAAATTGTACTGACTACTGAATGTTTATATTTTCATTTTGTATTCACCATCAAATTTTGAAAATATTTTTGATACTTTTTGAGCTGTTTACTGACATTGTCAGTTTTCAATTTGTTTAGTTTTTTTTCCTATAAATATCAATAAAATTGTATATGTTATTTAAAAAAGCGTGAAGATTTAATGCAAGGCTCCTGATATATTATTAGAATAGCAGTTAAAAAATTTTAAAAACACATGGGCACTATTCTTTTTATAAGCATTTAAAGTTTGAATTTTATCAAAATTTATCAAATTTAAAATTTAATAACTATTTTGTAGTTAAAAATTTATAAAATGTTCAACTTTTATAGCTAAGGATTGAAAATTGAAAACAAGGTTCCACGTAAATAGGTTATATATAAATTACTTTCTTCACAATAATATCATCAAATATACTTAGTAATATCATAGGCTGACTGACCGTTTTCGCTCAGAATCGTTTTTCTTATAGGTACAATGATATTATATCATTGAATTCAAATTTAACACCATACGTTACAGTGACCCACTTCACACTTGTAACCTACTGTACAGCAGAGTGACATCCACTTACCCACATTTTTATTATTGTTCCTGGTCAATCTGCATATTGGTATAATTATTATTATATTAAATGTATTGATAATAATAGCTATAAATATACTTATTTAAATGGATACTTAGGAATTTTAGGGTAGTAATATTATTGCTAATAATATTATAATATTGTATTATTATCTAAAAGATTCCTAATTTAAATAATAATACCATAATAAGATTCTATAATGGTATGTATTATGGCCCTCACCCCTCAGCATATTACTATGTTCACAGGGATTGACGTATGCAGAAGTCCGTATAACAAATCACCAAGAATTGATGGATGAAGGGTTTAATGGTTTCTTAACGTGCTCGTCGCAACTAGGTCTAAGTGTCGGTAATTATTAAAATTTCTAATTTATATATGTTAATCATTAGGGTAGGAATACTTACTCGTACAGTCGTACGTGTTATTAATAAAATTGTATACTAAAAAAAGTGACAATTATGTATGTGTAGAAGTTTGCAGTGATTTGTTGGATCCCAAGTTAAATAGCAGTGATACCAAATACGACGGTTGTAAAGTAAGTACCTACCTATACCTATTACTTACACATAAATATATTGTGATTTTATTGTATGAGGATAAATCGCTGTTATACCTATGTTTGAACTTTGAATAACCAATGTCACAAAATTTAAACTTCGTGAAAACCTATGCGTAGTTTTAGTAAGACTTGTTTTATTTAAATCTCAGTTATAAAAATGTATGAGGGATTTTTTAATATATTTATACATTGGTTGTACGGTATACAGATCTGGGACATTGTCAAAATATCGAATATACAAAAATATAATTGTTCCAATCAAAAATCCTCAGACTCATAACCAATGATCCTCCTTATATAATCTCAAACCACACCCTTCACACAGATCTCCTCATTCCTAAAGTCACCGAAACAGCCAAGTTATTTTACTCTAAATTCCGAAATCACCTTCAAAATCACACCAAGCCTCATGTTAAAAAGTTACTATCCATCTCCAACCCCCCTCCTATAGAAGAGACTCAAGTGATAATGGCCCGAGATCTTATAAATTAAACACAAAAAAACCTAAATAATTTGTAAATTCAAGCAGTAAATTGCCTTCACTGGTTGGTTCTTCTCTCGAGTTACTCAAACTACTACATATAATAAAATTTTAAAAACATCCGTTATGCTTATAATTGTACTTATTGTACTCAGTGCTTTATGTACAGATTGTATACATTCTAAATTAAAAATTTAAAAATATATATATTTATATAATATAATTATAATACAATTTATAGTTCTAAAATATATTTATGCATATAGGAAGGTATTAATAAAAGGACTTTCAATGCATTTGGTTAGAAATATAAATATCTATATACTAATAAATACTTTTGGTAATATTAACTGTAGGTATTACTGTTTATTTTTGTTTATTCTAATGTTTATAATAAAAATCGGTATAGTACTCAACTGTTTAGTATTTATAACTGTGTGAACTAAAACAGTAAAACATAAATATTTCCATCATTTAAAAAATAATGATAATTTTATTGTAATAACTAAAAAATAAAAACTTATTTTTAACATAAATCATATTTTTTCTACCCCAATCTAAAAAAAAACCATACAAAAACGCCATAAAAAAGCATAACATAATTAACCTACGTTATATACTATTAGTGTACGACGTACGTCACGTCGTCACACCAGAGTTGTTATGTTAGAAACATTTTGTTTAAAACATAAAAAAAAAACATACCGATTTTGTTTCAAACTTTTAAATCACTTGTTTTAAACATCAATAAAAAACGTGTTTAATACAATATTCTTAGTACCTACATTTTAAATTAAAATAATCTATGGTTTTTTTCTTCCCTGAGGGATACTTTTTGTTTAATGATATATTTTTTTGTAAAAAACCAATAATTTTAACAAATTAAAAAATTAAAAATGATGGCATCCAAAAAATTGAGCCAATTGTTTTAAACAAAACTCCATAATTGAAAATAAGCACGATCCCCATATTTTTAATACACGAACAGAACTTTAAGCAGTTTCTTAAAAAATAGAAAAAGTCTTATGTCTTATGAATAGAGTTTTAATTTTGTAGCTCTATATAAAACTTTGAAAAATCACTTAAAATAAAACAAATAGCACTTATACTCTAAAAAAAAAACCTAAACTATTTAAAAAAAAAACCTAGACTGTTTCTAACGGTTTTTTTTCACAACTGACACTGTGTTATAAAAAATAAAACCACATTATTGTAAATCAATATTATTCATTGGTCCACCAGAATTTTAAATCTAATTTTTAACGTGTTGCTTATTAGTAATAAGTAATAACTAATAAATTCATAAGTGTTTACATTTTTAATAAGTGGAGGTTTGGAGGTTTATGCCAATTATCTCCACTCATCAAAACTTTAAATATAGGTACTTATAAATTATAACTATGTAATTAACTACTCATAGTTTGATATACGATAGTTAAATCTTATATATAAATCAAAATTCTCAGAAAAATATTCTGCTTCGAAATATGAAACTAAAAATGTATGTCGGTCAATCAAAACAGTGAGTTAAATGGTAACGATAAAAAATAAAAATATAATATGTAATAATAATAAGTAATAAGTATACTTATATTATTTTTATTATCACATCAAATTATGTGAAATAAACATTTTTAAAAACATTAAACCATTCATGATAATAAAATTTCTGTATACAAGATATATAAAATAACAAACTTTTTCAAGCACCTAGGTAGTAATAATAACTAGATACCTAAGTAACTAGATAAGTGGAGTCGTAATAGATAATTCATGGGTACTTAGGTACGTGTAAAGTAAACGAGAATGTTTAGAAAGATGACGCAGAATGTCTGCGAGAGCACTGAAATATTGAATGCTTTAATATTATTTTTTTATAGGTACTTTACCAGTTACCTGCTCACCTACTTACCTAATGACAATAATTTATGTACTAATAAAACTTAATAATATGTTTGTTTCAGTGTTTTTTACCATGCATGGCTAAAATAATAGGAACTGTAAGTAACCTGAATATACCTATAATGTATATTATTTTATTATTTTATCATACCGTTATATTGTTATAAAGTAATACAATTTAATGTAATGAGTTAATACATGAAGTAATGAGTAATATGTATTTGCGTATATTTTTTCCTGTATATAGATGAACACCGGTGACGGTAAATGGAATGAAAAACGATTTTGGGAAATTACCGCAATGCTCGATGTACCTGAGTGGAAACATGAGGCAGAAGTAATTGGAAACAATTGCAAAGACCGTATGGCATTTTACGATATTTGAATATTAATTTTATGGATCTATATAAAATCACATTTAAAAAAAATTTATCATAGCCACTGAAAATTCCAATTTGCAATAAATTGCCCTGTATTACATTTAGGTATGTAATAACTTTGTCATAGGATCCGATTAATCCGAAAAAAAAGAATAACTGTATTCTAATTTCTAATACAGTAATACAACACAACAATAACGAAGTATAACAATAAACAATTCAAGAAACACATTGCCAAAATATCTACAGCTATTAACCAGGGGTAGACAAGGGCGAGGGGGGTCAGACCACTGTAAGCTATCGCAAACGAATTACAACACAGCGTTTTAAAACAATCTCATAAAAAAAATTTCAATTAAAATGTTTAACCTATATAGTATTGGTATTGGCTATATTTCTACAACCCTGGATATAAAAAATTTAAAAGTCCTGTAGAAATACGTCGAATAATTTTTGGATCATAAAAATTAAGTGTCTATACGTGATAAGCAATCTCAAATTCCGAAAGAGGTTGTGTGTGAGAAGGAGTAATACAATAATATTTTTTATAAAAAATATTAAAAACCTAAAAGTGTAATATTGACTATTAATAGGAAATACATATTGTATTATGTATGTCACATACCTATAATATAGAATACCAATATGATGGAAATATAGGTATACATTTAATATAATATCTAGTACAACCATATATATTCTATAATATTATTATACTAGAGTAGTAGAGTCTATATAATATTATAATCGTTTCTAAATTTGGAATCGCGTCGCTCGTCGGTCAGAAATAATTAAACCCGTGCATCCGAAAAACACTTTTATTTATATTTTTTTAATTTTAAATTATTATTTCAATTTATGTGTGATTAAAACTGTAAAAACGCACTTGAAACTAACTTAATAGTTAATATCGTTCTAAAATTCGGGGCACTAAATAATAGCGATTTTATTGGTATGTAAAACATAATAATAAGAAAACTCGTATATTGCAATACTTTTTCGTTTTTATGTGATTGTCCACCTAAAGGCTGCACTCAACATTATACTGTGATCAGTCAGTGGTCATCAACTAGGTTAAACTAGGCCTAACTAGATGTAACTTATTTATATACTAATATAAGCATTACATATTTTGTAAACGAATTTTAGTGATATTATATAATTTGTTTTAGGAGTGAACACGCATTGTTCAGCTGGTTATCCTTTATTCCTGTGTGCGTTAAAACACTCTAAAATGGTAACTATTCTTAGGTTACTTTATAAAATATAATATTATTTACTATTATAATTGTGTAATAACATAAGTGTTTAAGTATTTTTATAAAATCTCAACATTTACTTACCTATAATTGTCGAAAAGTAAAAATGTTAAGTCGTTGAAATAATTTAATTTTTTTTTGTGTTGCTTAAATATAGCTTCAAGATATGGCAAAGACTCATATGCTTCAAAAACAAGCAGCTATCGAAGCAATGAACAGTACAAATGCCGAATATGAAGACGACGATCAAATTAATCAGCCTACAACACGTTAACCATAATCGGGTCACATAAAATTAATTGTCTGCAGTGTACGCTGTACGCTGTACCTATTTATCATTCATCTAGACTTTGCACATCCACACAAATACAGACACACATTATTTACTATATGTATTCATTAAATAATTGTAATATTTCTGTAATAATAATGTCTCTTGATTAATTATACAAATATATGGTTAATATGGGATGAAATGGTGTGTAAATACAAATATTATATGAACCATGAATCATAATACACATAATATATATTATATACTAAATATATACACCATATATACAAAACACCCATACATAATAATAAAAAAAATGTTATTAGGGATGGGTTTTCGAACTCTCTGAAACCTCAAACATTAAGAAATTTTAAGTTTCGAGCTCATGGGAAGTTGAGGTTTGAACTCAAACTCAAATAGTTCTAAAAATCCGAGCACAATCAATTTTGAAGTGTTCGAATATGGCAGAAAATTAAGGATGGGTGATTCCTGGAAACGTATGGAAATTCACGGGAATCATACAGAAATTGTGGGTACGAATCATATAGTTCACTCATCACATAGCTAAATAACGGTGTAAATAAATAATTAAAATAATAATTAAGTATTTTGCTAAATTTCCATTTGAAAAACCACTTATATTGCTTAAAAAATATTAAAGAACAAAAAATTAGTTTTCAAAACGGATATTTTTATTATGTTATTCATGTACCTGTACTGATGAAAACGATAGGTCCCATTAAAATTCTCATATTATTAGTGTTACGAATTACAACCAAAACGAATAAACAATAAAACATTATATTGTAATATTTTAAAAATATTTTCCTTATTCCCGTCAGAACCAAAAAACTTCTCTAAAAGGTTTCATTATTATTTATTACCAAACAAAATTAATAACTTTTTTTTCTGCTAATAGAAATACTAACTATAACTATCTTGTACTGTATAGTAGAATTTTATAAATTATAATACATTTATAAATTGTTAAAATATATATAATAATAGTTATACTTGGGGGACGAGGTGGCCGAGCGGTCTAACACGTCGTCTGCGGCGCTGGCGGTCGCGGGTTCGATTCTCTCGGCCACTGGGCGGCATTTTTCTCCGGGCAAGTCACGGTGTCCGGAGAAGAAGTGCCGCCATCCCCCACTCCGGGGCATGGCAGAAACCTACGGGTGCCCCATTCGAAATTCTGCCAAAAATACACCCACGTGTAACAACCTACAGTTTCCCCCCAACAGTACCACAGGCTAATAACCTTGCAGATGATGCCTTTAAAAAAAAAAAAAAAAATAGTTATACTTATGTAAAAAATAATTAATCAAGAGGCCTGACTGTCAATACTCTACAACAGTAGACAGTAGTTCGCCATCAGTGTGTCGTGTATTACCGTGATGGGTAATGTGAACATTTTTAGATTCTGAGTGGAACGATGAATGTATTGATTTTACAATGATGTGTGTTTTTTTTTGTGTCTGTGTACACGAAAGTAGTCGAAATAATGCTTCGATTTTCAACTTCAGTATCTTGTTCGACGGGAAAGTGAATATCGTTGGTGCATTGGGGAGGTCAAATTTTAAAATCCCAGTAATTTTCAAAAGCGCCAATAAAAACAAAAGAAAAATAAAGGAAAAACGGGAATTTTTACGCAAAATCGATTTTTCACAAAATTGAATTTGGTTTTTGGTGTAACTTTAAAACAAATGGCCGTAGATACATGACATTTTCACTGGTTGTTTATATTTGCATTTTCTATACACGATAACATTTTAAAAATGTTTTGATTTATTTTTGTTTAGGCACATTTTCATTTTCCATTTATTTTTGTTTTTTTCTAAAAACATCAATTAAATTTTATTTGTTGCCTGTTGGTTCAAATTCAAATTTAATACCATCCATTATACAGTGACCCACTTGTAGCCTACTGCAGTACAGCACAGCACCTTTTTTTACTTATATTGTACAAGTTCAAAGTATAAATGTATGACATTATTATGGCATTATGACGTGATAGTAAAAACAACAGATAAGAAAAACAATTATGTAGATAGTCAGCTCATTCTCAATTAACATAAGGTTTATAGTTCATCCCACGAATTAATATATCTTAATAGGTTGCCGTCCTCAAAAAAAGTTGAGGAGCTCTAAAATAACAAAAATGTTGTGATTTTTGACAATTTTGGGCTTTCTTGAGGGTGCCAACCCTACAGCAGATTAAATTTAAACTTTAGAACCATAGCTGAGCGATGAATGTAATGCGGCTATACAATGATATTTTTATGTGTCCATATAAATGTTAATATTTCTATGCCATGTTACAATATTATATGTGATAAAACTTACTTATTATACACTGTAAAATTGTACATAGATTGTAGGTAGGTATTATAATCTTTTTTAAATATGTTGAAAAAAAAACTATTTCTAAAAATTCCGAAATATGCAAAATTAAATTGAATATCTACCTTTATTTTATATAACTGATTCTACGTGTCATACCAAATGGAATTACGATTTGGTCTGCAATGTACCTACACGCCTGAAAAAAATATACTCGTAAAAGTCATTAGCATATCCGGATCCCATAATATTATAGGTTTAGGCACTTCAGTATATATCTTCTACACGCATAATATTATATATTTTGCAATATAATGTAATGGGTATACACGTATATAGATATTTTATTATAGTAGTAATAATTATCATGGCATCCAAATTTCTGTAATTATTTCGAAATAGCGCGTATTTTAGTTGCGATATAATTATAAGGTAGGTTCATATTATTATGTTCTCTATAATAATATATTGCGGGTACCCATAACATGAATAAAATGACTTAAACAACTGTATTGTATTTTTTTTTTGTAATCATATAAGCCACGTGGAGTTCAACCCTTAATGGTTATATTATAAAATTATAAAAAATTCGCCAATCGGAAATAAAATATTTATATATGAATTATTTATGAAATCCAATATATTATTGTATATTATACCTAGATCATATACTATGGATGGAGCATATTAAATTATATTTATGGATCATATTAAATCAATACAAAAAACGTTGCCTATATATCCCTATATCAGCCGAATTAGGTGGTCGATATGCGCATGCACAACTCGACTTCTTGCATATTTATTCACATTACCTATTGTACCCATATGGATAATTATGCTAGGAGTTGCATTGCGCATAAGCACATCGATTACCTGATTCGGTGATTCGTCGCTATATCGGTAACAAAATCATACGCTGTTGCTACCTGCTACATCCATAGAAGTGGCGTGTTGAACTCATTTTTGGCGAGGAGCAAAAATTAATTCAAGGTATACCAACCCACCCATCCCCTTGATGTTTATAACGGCATTTCCAACTCAGAAAAAAAGTTTAAATTAAAAATTACAAACTATGTGTACATTTGTAACGATTTGTGTCATCGGATATGATATTTCTACCACATACCTAGTCACCTAGAGACCACCAACCAACCAGCAATTTGAAGGAGCAATTGCTCCAAAATAATACCTTCGACACGCCACTATATGGATACCATAGTATATGATATTATGATCTAAGATATTATATTTTTAAAATATAATATATTGTATCTATTGAAGTTATTGAGGATTTATCGATTCCACCAGTACAAGTATTTTTAAAACAAACCCACTGATTCCACTAATTTGAAATAATTCTAAGTTTAACGGAACCTGCAAGAAAGTATGGAAAATACCTAAACTTATATATAAATTAATATATAAACCTCCCGAACAAAACTCACAAATCGTAATTTCATCAATCATTTTTAAATTGACATTGACTATATATAATATATATTTATATAGGTACACAATTTTATTGGTTTAAGTTAGTGTATTCGGGGTGCGTCCTGTTCTTCTATTTTTCTATCATTCTATATCTATTTCTTATCATTCTATATTTCTATCTCATTTCCTTATTGTATTACTATAAATATAGATTGTAAGTATATATTCTTTTGTAATAATTAATAATAAAAAAAAATTAGTGTATTACTTAAAAAATTATAACTGACGATCATTCAAAATGCTGAAAAAATAATTTATAAAAAATGAACATGTATTATTGTTTATATTTTTCATATTATTATATTGATTGTGACATTTCGATTTTAATATTTAAGTGATCGGTACCGGTTTTATTATTTTGTAAATCATTATTATAATACATGTATATTTCTTTTTTTTTTTTTTTTTTTTTATTGGTTAAGCATCAACTACATAGGTTATTAGCTTACAGGTGTTATTTCTACATTAAATAATTATATGGTATTGTGCAATTCAATTTTTTTTAAAAATAAAATTATGTTATGAAAGTTTGAAAATGGACCAATTGCTTCGTACAGGTTGTCTGGGATGTTGAGATCTTTTCTAGCGTCGTTGAAGTTTGGGCAGTGGATGATGATATGCTTGATGGAGTAGTTTGTATTGCATGTTGGGCATAGGGGTGGATCTGTCTTTGCCATAAGATGTCCGTGTGTGAGTTTCGTGTGACCGATTCTGAGTCGATTGAGAATTACTTCATTTTTTCTGTTTAGTTCAGTGTATTTCGGCCAGAGTTCGACAGAGTGCTTAATTTCTCTCAATTTATTTTCCGGGGTCGTGTGCCACTGTGAGTTCCACAAATCAATACAGTATTTGTTTATATTTCTTTTTATATCTACGAGTGAGGAAAAAGGAATATTTTCACTGTCTGGACTATTGACTGCATTTCTAGCCGCTTCGTCTGCCTTCTCATTTCCCTTTATGTTACAGTGACCTGGGGTCCATATAAATCTGATTTCTTTATTTGATTTGGAAAGAAGGTTGCTGATTGAAAGAGCCAATGGTTCTGATAAGGTTTTGGATTGTAGATTTGCTAAGGCACTGAGTGAGTCAGAGCAAATATCGATTTTAGTATTGTTGATATCTAGGGCAAATTGAACTCCTTTCAATAATGCTAGGTATTCAGC